GGGAGGGAGGGAGGAAACTTCAGCAAAACCACTCTTTTGTGTATATATGTCAATATAAAATAGCTACATTATTATACATTATTATACATATTATACATTATTATAACGAGTGTTAGGGGGGGAAATGACTAAATTATTGGGCTTTTCTCTGAGTCAAAACTTATGTGTTTTGTGTATTCAGTATTGTTTTTTAGTGCATTGTTATAGAAATTTCATAAAGCAGGCCTAAATTGCCTTCTTATTTTCTAAACTTGCCTTGAATCACTTACAGTTAGCTATAATAACTAGTTTAATAATTGCTCCAAATAAATACCTAAAACTACTCTAATGTAGTATAATTTGATTTTAAGAAAATTTATTCTAAAATAATTACAAAATAATAGTAAAACTTAATGCACCCAGTTATTGTTGTTATATGATTCATTGTAATATATTAATATAGAACTTTCTTTGGCTTTCAATTAAGTGGTACGTATCAACCTATATTATTCATTTCCTATGATGTGAGCAGTTCAAGAGAAGGTATTATAACTTGGTCATTTTTCTTCCTGCACCTTGGTATTTAGCTTATATTTGACAAAGAGAAAGTTATCAAACATACCTTTTTGAATGAATGAATGTCCAGCACAGAAATAATGTTAAACTTACATCACAAGCACATTTGGAAAGACTAAAACTCACATTAGCTAATACTAATAGTAATAACAGCTAACACTGAGTATTTTTACTCCATGCAAAGTGCTCTAAGTGCTTTCCTGTGTTTTGCTTTACTCCTCCCTTATAAAACTCTCTGATGCAAGTATTATTGATGTTATCATCATCCCTATTTTTGAGGAAATGAAAGCATAGAAGATTAAAGTTACTAATCCAACATGATATGATAGTACAGAAAATACTATTTGTTGTAATACATAGTGAATTTATTAAATAGTAYCTGGGAAAAATCGATTTTTGAAGAGCTAAAAATTATGGACCTTGGGTAACAATATAGAGATGATAATGCTAGGAAAGTTAATATTATATATTATTCCAAACTGTATTATAAATCATAAATCTTTAGATAACAACACTGACCTAAATATCAGTATTAACAGTGTCTTTTGACCTATTAATTGTCACTTGAGGACATAAAGTACATCAGACAGCAAAGAATTTCTGAAAAACAATATCCTGAATATAAATGAGTCTAAAAAAAAAATCAAACATAAAATGCTAGAAATACCATGCATCACTGAAAAATGGTATTATAAATATTAGAAGACATATCTGTATATCTCATTAAATATACTTTAAAAGGATCTTTAGATATCCCTAAGAAAATAATATGAATATAATAAAATCAGAACCCACCCCTAAAATTACTATTTAGCTTACTTACCTACGATTGCTGTAATATGTAAATCCTACAAAAGGTAGTTGATTGCCAACAAAAGCTTTAGGAATAGGGAATGTTTCTTCATCTCCTTTATCATCTTCTAAATCATCAAAATTACTAGTATCAATGTCACTACTTAAATCAGGTACAACTGGTGCTACAGCTAAAAATAGAAAGAAAATTGTTGTTGATCTCAAATATWCAAAGTGACACAAAGATTTTATACCAGCCCAGTATGGTAGTGTACACCTTTAGTCCCAGCTACTTAGGAGGCTGAGGCAAGAGGCTCCCTTGAGCCCAGGAGTTCAAGACCAACCTGGGGAACAGAATTAAGACCTCATCTCAAGAAAAAAATAATAATAAATAAATAAATAATGACAATAATAATGATGTTTCTTTTCTAAATAGCTGTAAAACAAATTCCAAACAGGATGAATCTATAAGATTCATTATAATTAATAAATGTTAATTATTAATTCATTCATTTGTAATTTATAAATCTACTGTTCATTGCTGTATGAGGAATAATATTCACAAACCCATAAATATTCATAAATCTATGGTTTGTAAATTTGTCACCAATTTTATTAATAAACTATGAATTAATAATTTGTTAATGTTTATTGATAGTTTGTTATATAATTCTGGAAATGATATATACCAAATCACCTATAATTCAAATTTAACTTGAATATTACAAGTCAAGTTATTAGGATTACTTTAAATACATCGCTGTATAAATTTCTCAAAAGAATTTAGGATTATAGAAAAGAATTTCCAGAACCTATAACATTACAAGCTATAATCTAAAAAGTTGGGTTAATTTTAAATACCGTATTGTTTTATTAATCTGCTATGAAGCAAGCCAGAAATCAAGGTTAATTCTTAGTAGTCCTGAATATAATTACTAATTTGAAACTGAAATATTTTTATTTTTATTCATATCAAATCTACATGATCAATATTCCTATCATTCAATATCTCCATAAGATTAAACAATAAGGAGCAAAGGATTTTGAATTAGTTTCAGACTAGCTACTTCCAGAATTAAGTGATTAAGAATAATTCAGTATTTACGACACGGTTAAAAAAAAAAAAAAAGCAAGGACACAAAAACATGGATAAAGCATCTCAAGATTGTAAACATGATGGGGAGGGGCAAGACTTACATATACCTAATAATTTAAAATGATATGCGACAGTCTTTAAATATTCATAATCCAGGAGAAAATACCACATAAAAGCTTGAATGTGCTATAAGGGGTACATTAAAAATAAATTTAGGATACATATTTTTTAGTTTAAAGGCACAATAGTTTATAATACACAAAATGAATTATTATCAAAATACTAAATACTCATTTCAGGAACAATTGTTTCCTTTTTCTTTGGGAAAAAAGATAAAGATAAGCAAGGCAACCAAAAAACAACTGAACAGTTTCATGGTCTTAATCTCATATAAAGGAACTATTTTTTTAGTTAGCTGGGTGCTTCAGGCAAGAAATATCTATTTTCAGGCAATCTTAGACACTGAAATATCTGAATAATTTGGGAACCAAACAACAGATTTAGCCCAACAAAGTTGTAGTCTAATAGCAATGAGTTTAAAAAAAAAAGTTCTTCTACCATTTATTTCTTTAAGGCCAAGAGAACTGCTTGACCATACAATGCTGATATCCTAATAATTCATTTCTTAATATGTAAAATGAAAGAAAAATAAAAGGTTGCTGACCCCAGGGAAGTCTACAGTCAATTATGGAATGGCATGCATTTTACTTTCAAAAAATTCTCAATCATGAAGAAATTTTGCCTACAGGGTACTTTTGGGAATATCTGTGTACATTTCTCGTTGTCACAAATACACAAAATCTTAAAATAAACTTTCTTAAATATGTACCAAAGGCTATAAAGGATGAAGAAATAAACTATAGGAACCAGAAGAATGTTATCTTAAATAGAAAATATTAAGATAGAGACAGAAAAAGGAACAAAATAGAAATTCTGGTGCTGACATGAAAAAGTAAACACAGCAGAAGGGAAGCGTGGCACCACAACTAGACCAACACATGCATTATGGGAGTTCACAGGGAGAGGAGAAAAAGCAGCAGAAAATATATTTGAAGAAATAATGGCCTCAAACCTCCCAAATCTGATAAAAGATGTGAATTTATATTCATATACAATGTAAATGAGGGTCAACCAAGGAAAATGCCAAAATATCCACATAAAAATGCATTATAATCAAATAGCAAAATCAAGCTGCCCTAACTCAAGGCCTTGAAGAAAGATCAGTAAACCTAACTGCGCACATAAATGTAAAAGCCAGTATTACAGTATTTTTGGTTTGTAACAGCTTTTTTCTCCTCACATATGATTTAAAAAACAAATGCATTATGCAATAATCATAAACTTAAGTTAATGAGCATACAATATAAAAAGATTTAAATTGTAACAATGACAATATATAGGGTAAGGACAATTTGTATAAAAGCCATTTTTGTATGATACTAAAAGTAAACTAGTATCAATTCAACCTAGACTGTTACCAATTTAGGGTTTTAAATGTAATCTCCATGTTGACCAACTTAAAAAACATACAGAAAAGGAAAAACACAAAAGGTAGTAATTAAACACTTAAGAAGCAAAAATAAAATACAGAAAATAGAAAAATAAAAGAAATATTTCCTTATCAGTATTCACTGTAAATTTAAACGAATTAAACTCACCAATTAAAAGGCTGAGATTGGCAGAATAAAATAAAAAATGATCCAAGAATATGCTCTTTACAGAGACTCACTTTAAATCAACAGACATAAATAGGTTGAAAGTGGAAAATACATTCCATGCAAAAGAGGAATGGCTAGGGTTAGGGATGGGGCTCAAGCAGTAGCGGCTCGCCTGGCATGCACGGGGCGCTGGGTTCAATCCTCAGCACCACAAAAAAATTTTAAAAAATAAAGATGTTGTGTCCACTGAAATTTAAAAATAAATATTAAAAAGTTCTCTCTCTCTCTCTCTTTAAAAAAAAAATTGGAACGGCTAAACTGACATCAAACAAAACAGATTTTAAATCAAAACTATTGAAAGAGGCAGAGAAAGACACCACACATTGATAAGAAAAAGCTTAATATATTAAGAAAATGTAACAATTATAAATATGAACAACACAGCTCCAAAGTATATGAAGGGAAAGCTGACATGAATTCAGGGAGAAAAAGAACACATAAAGACAAAAATCAATAAGAAAATACAAGATTTGAACAACCATAAACCAACTAGATATATAATAGATATACAGAACACAATTCACCCAACCAAAGTAGAATACATGTTTTCTCAAGAACACTTAAAAGACATTTTCCAGGAGTGACTATATATTAGGCCAAAAGGAAGTCTGAATAAATGTAAAAAGATTAAAATCACTTTTCCAATCACAATGGAATTAAACCAGAAGTCTAAAAATATTGTGGAACTGAAAATTTTCTCAAACCACCAAATGAGTGAAAGAACAAATCAGAGGGAGATTATAGAAAACTATTTTGATGAAAATGAAAATATCATGCCAAAACTTATGGGATTCAGTAAAAACAGTACACAAGAGAAAATTTCAGCTGTAAATGTCTATATTAAAAAACAAGAAAGATCTCAAACCATTAACTTGAAATTATAAAACTAGAAAAAAGTAAATAAATCTAGAGCTAGCAAAAAAAGATTATAGTACAGATAAAATAAAGAACGTAAAACCAATAACAAAAGTTAATAAAAAAATTAAAAGTGGTTCTTTAAAAAGCTAAAAATAAATGACAACCATTTTACTGAACTTAGGGGGAAAAAGACATGAACAATAAAAGTAAGGATAAAGATACTAATCATTTAGGAATAAGAAGTATTAAAGAAAGTACTATGAAWGAGTATGTACCAACAAATTATAGATGAACTGGACAAATTCCTAAAAACACCATCAACTAAAACTTGCTAAAATAAAAGTTAGAAATTAGAAGAGACCCAAAACAAGTAAAGAGATTTTAAAAATAGTAAAAAAAATCTACAGTCTACACAACATAAAAAGTTCAACACTAGATGGCTTTACAACATCAACCCACCTCAAGCACTTCTAAAAAATAGAGGGAAAAGTTCCTAATAAATTCCACAAGATCAGCATTGTTGACACCAATAACAAAGACACCAAAACAAACAAAAGCCCACAGAGTAATACCTTTTATTAGCATAGATACAAAAAAAAAGTTGCAAATAGAAAACAGTGCCATATTCAAAGGATTAACATGTGATAAATACAGCCAATTTTATCATCAACTAAAAAAATTTTAAACAGAACTGTACTCTATGACTRAATGGGATTTACTACAAGGTACTTCACCACATCAATCAGTGCAATGTATCTGGTCCTCTATATAAACAGGTTGATTCAACCAAAAGAAGATTGAAAATAACCYTTAAAAAGAACTGTGTCTAAAGATGTTCAGACTTTTTTTTTTGTCATTATTCCCTAAAAGAATGGTATTACAACTATTTACTTATATGTTGAAAGATGTGTGTGAGTTCTATGCAATTACTGTGCCATTTAAAAAAAAATTTTTTTAATTACATTTGAACACAATGTCTTTATTTTGTTTGTTTGTTTATTTTTATGTGGTGTTGAAGATCGAACCCAGTGCCTCACATGTGAGAGGCAAGCTCCACTACAGAGCCACAACTACATACTGTGCCATTTTATATCAGGGACTTGAGTATTTTCAAATTTTGGTATCTGTTCAGGGTTCTCAAACCAATCCTCCATGGACACTAAGGACAACTATATTACAATAACAGAATAAAGGGAAGAAAAACACAATCATTCCACTTGATGCAGAAAAAGTATTTAACAAGTCTAAAATCCCACAACTACTATCATACTCAATGGTTAAAGATTAAAACCTTTCCCYATGATAAGGAAGGCAAGAAAGCCCATTTTCACCATTGCTATTTAACATTATACTTGAAGATCAAGTCTGAATAATTAGGTACGGGAAAAAAAGTGGTGGTGGKGGGGGGACATCTAAACTGGAAATAAATAAGTTAAAACTACTCTATTCATAGATGACATGATCCTATACATAGAACATCCCAGGCCTGTCATGGTGGTACACACCTATAAATACTAGCGAATCAGAAGGTTGAGGCAAAGGAGCACAAATTCAAGGCCAGCCTTGGCAACTTAACAAGATCCTGTCTTGAATAAGAAATAAAAAAAAGACTGGGGATAGGCTGGGGTTGTGGCTCAGAGGAAGAGTGCTCACTTAGTATGTGTGAGACACTGGGTTCGATCTTCAGCACCACATAACAATAAAATAAGGGTAACTGTGTCCACCTACAACTAAAACATAAATGTTATGGGATGTAATTCAGCGATAAAGCACCAGTAGGTTAAATCCATAATAGCAAAACAAAACAACAAAATTTTTGTGTGTCAAAGGACACTACCAATAGCTGAGTGTGGTGGTGCATGCCTGTAATCCCAGTGATTTAGGAGACTGAGGCAAGAGGATTGAAAGTTCAAAGTCAACCTCAGCAACTTAGTGAGTGAGACCCTGTGTCAAAATAAAACAATAATAAAAGGGGGTTGGGGAATGTGGCTCAATGGTTAAGTGTCCCTGGGTTCAATCCCAATACCAATGGGGGGGGAGGGAGAAAGGGGGAGAGAAACCCAGAGAATGGGAGAAAATATTTGCAAACCATGTATCTGATAAGGGATTAATATTCAGAATACATAAAGAACCCCTACAACTCAACAACAAAAACAAACAACCCAACTCAAAAATGGGCAAAAGACTTTCATAGAAATTTCTCAAGCAGATATGTGGATGGCGAATAAGCATATGAAAAGATGTTTAACATCCCCCTAGTCATTAGAAAAATGCAAATCAAAACCATAATGAGGGCTGAGTTGTAGCCCACTGGTAGAGCGCTTGCCTAACATGTGTGAGGCACTGGGTTCGATTCTCAGCACTACATATAAATAAATAAAAAGTCCATTGACAACTAAAAAATATTTTTAAAAAACCATAATGAGATACAATTATATTCTCATTAGGATGGTTATTATTAAAAGAAAATCATAGAAAAGCACAGTTGATGAAGATATGCAGAAACTGGACCTTAGTTCTTTATGTATTTTGCCCATGGGAGTATAAAATAGTGTGCTCTAACTGCATTATTTTATAGTGCTCATATTGTGCTTGTAGCATACCAAGTTATTTGGGTCTTTTCACTTCTTTTGTCTCCTATCTTTAAACTTACTCTCTGTCAATTCTTCAATTCTATCTCAAATGAGTGAATGACTAACTTTACAATCTTATACTTTGTGCCTCTAAATTAAGAGTGAACACAATCAAGAAACTCACAGGAAGTCTGCCAAAAATCAAGCATTTTGTACCCTGCTCCCATACGACTGAGGAACAAAAGAGTAAAACTAATTGGCATTATAACTTAGAGAYGTGTAAGTGACAAAACTACTAAAATAACTATTATAAAAGAAAGCAGTCTTGCCAAATAAAATTGTATAGAGTCAAAAAGTTAAAAGGAATCATAGCTTACATAATTTTTTAAAAATTAGGTTAGTGAGGTCACTTCAAATAAAACTATTCTTGGTATTTTAGAGGTGGAAGGAAAAAAAAGGGTAGGAAGAGTAAGAACAGTAAGTTCTAGAGGCTTCAATATTTCTTTGTCTTTTTCAATAACTACAAAACAGGATCTACTGAGATTAGGAAAAGCTATCAAAATGTTTATTGCAAAACTGTATCAAACAATATATATTTTAAAAAGAAAATAATACTACTAATAAATTACATAACAAACAAATTCAAAGAAACTCTTCACAGTTCCTTTGATTTATCAGTGAAGTCATTGTTTTTTTTTTAAATAAAAGCATTTACGTTAAGAATATACAGCAATATAATAAAATGTCATTGATTTTGTAGTCCCCCGATTCCATGAGACTATGAGCTCCACAAGTGAAAAAATTTTTGTTGGCATGATCACTGATGCTCTCCTAGTTCTTCAAATAACATAGTGCTCACCACGTAATAGGTGTTCAACAAATAATTTGTCAATTAAATTGCCTCCATTCCTAATTAATAATCCAGTTTTGAATCCATAAAATATACTGTATTTTTCAGAATTATTTATCGTATGGTTATCCTATGGTTATTTATGCATTTCCTAACTTCATTTGCAAAACAACTTAAGGCAATTCCAAAGATAATTTAAAAGGGGCCTAAAGAAAACTTTCTTCAGATTTATAATTGTATTTGTATACTCTGTTTTCTTAAACTTTGCTAAGAGAATAACTTGAATAAAAACAAAATTTTACAATGTAACCATTTGTTTTACTTCCTGCTCAACTTTATCTTGGAATATTTTCTCTTGCAGCCTGAAGATTATCCTGTCACATTTACTAATGAAGAGGAGGAAGTTCCTTATTTCTCAGCATAACTTTAATACATTTGCCCAAGGTCAAGGACTTCTTATAGCACTCAAGATAGCCAATCATTCAATGCCATTCTTTTTTGAAGTATAATTTCTTGATTTCCAGAAAAAATTATTTCCCTTTCTTCTTCTTAAGAGAATTTTATAGCTTTGCAAAATATATGGACTATACTTGGAAAATATTTAACTGCTTCTCTTAAAACATTTAACAACTGGAATATTGACTGACAAACCTATATGATCTATTTCTTCAAAGCTAACTAAATCCACTCCCTATCCCACCAAAGAATCCTCACTGTGTAAACTAATTAGGTAGTTCTTAAGACAAATACCTAACTTTTAAAATATATTTTTTGTAGTTGTAGATGGACAGAATGCCTTTATTTTATTTGTTTTATTTTTATATGGTGCTGAGGATTAAAACACAGTGCTTCACACATGCTAGTCAAGTGCTCTGCCACTAAGCTATAGCCCCAGCCCCAAATATCTAATTTTTTAACTGTTCTAAAACTACCTAGATAAGGACTGAGATTGTAGCTCAGTGGTAGCGTGCTTGCTTACGTAGCCGTGTAAGGCACTGGGCTCAATCCTTAGCATCATATATAAATAAAATAAAGGTACTGTGTCCACCTACAACTAAAAACATTTTTTTTAAAAAAACTACATAGGTGAGTTCACTCCCGTTATTACTGTTCACTGCTACTGATATAGCAGGAAGTTAGGGACTGCTATACACATATTATCCTTTTTCTGAAAAGTAAAAAGAACAAGAAAATTCTGAGGCTTCATAAGGATAAAAGATGAATTCTTGTCTTTCTAAATCTACAAAGATGACGAGAACCCTATTATACAACAATTTTGATTCAACTACCTTGTGCAAGGTTTTCTGCAAATAAACTTATAATTTTAACTTTATTTTAAAAAATAAGGAAATGTTCTAGATTAATTGAAAATTAACTTCCTTACACAGTACTCTTTTTTTTTTTTTTTTTTTTTTGCACCAGGGATTTAACTCAGGGGCAACTCAACCACTGAGCCACATCCCCAGCCTTATTCTGTATTTTATTTAGAGACAGGGTATCACTGAGTTGCTTAGTGCCTCATAGTTGCTGAGGCTAACTTTGAACTCATAATCCTCCTATCTTAGCCTCCAGAGCTGCTGGGATTACAGGTGTGTGCCACCTCGCCTAGCTACATTATTTTTATATCTTAATTGCAAGCTACCAAGACCCTGATGAAATCAAATATATCAATTTCCAATACCCTCATAAAATTAAATTCTAGTATTCAGTAATAATAAATTTCCTTATATTTTAAGTTTTAATAAAAATAACTTGCCCTTTCACAAGAAAACACATTTTAAAAGTCAAACAAATAACAATACTACTATTACTTGACTTAATTTACTTCCTCCACAAGGAAACAACAAAGATCAAATATCAAATTACAACTGCTGAGACCAAATTCATTCCACCTGTATTATTCATCTTGGTATCTTGAGTGGGACATGAGGGGAGGAGTTATACAATTTCCCCAAAATTATCAAATACTCTTGGTTTTTAGTAGATTAAGACAATTCCCATACAGAACAGGGATGTAGCATCAGATGTTACTTACAAATAGGAAATCTAATGTGCAAGAAAAAAATAACTTACTGTCTCGRAGTGTTTCCCAAGCCCACTGATCATTTTTGAAGAAGAGATGTCGTTTGATTTCTTCTACACCATTTCTTCCTAATCTCACTTCTCTGAAGAAAGAAGAAAAGTAATTAATTTTTGTTATTGTTGTTGATGGACCTTTATTTTTATTTATTTCTTTTTATGTAGTGCTGAGGATGGAACCCAGTGTTGATGGACCTTTATTTTTATTTATTTCTTTTTATGTAGTGCTGAGGATGGAACCCAGTGCCTCACGCATGCTAGCCAAGTGCTCTACCACTGAGCTGCAACCCCATCCCAAATATTTAACATCTTCTTATAACCTGTCTAGGTTTATCTGTAGACAGAATAATAAACCTGTGCAGATCTGTCACCTTGAAATTATATTTTTAGCATAATTTTCAGCCGAAATAAAGAATAAGCAGAAGACTGAGAACACTAAAGAAATCATTTAAAGAATACTAAGGGAAAATATACAAAAATATAGACTTGTTAATATTCCATGACTTTTGTACTGATACTGAGAATCCAGATGAATCATCGTCTTGCTTCAACGGCATGATGAATAAAATACAATGCATTTTCTTGACAGTTTTCTTCTTATGATTATAAAGTTATGCATTTTTCTTTGCAACCAAGAGTTTCTTTTACACAAAAAAATTCCAGAAAAACATTTTATATTTAAAATTTTATTTTCTAAACTATTCAATATTTCTGACCAATCAAAACCCAATGATTCTGTAGCAATTCCTGACATTGCTACAAAATTCAGAGCTTTAACTGGACAAGATATTCATTGCTGGCCTTGTTTTGGTGAGCATCAAAATTTTTAAAAATGTGCCTTTAGCTGAATTGGAAAGAGAAACTTAGCATGGTCTGTTCTCCAGTAGAATACTTATAAACAAACAKGATACCTGAATTTCAATTTTTTTTTCATAAGTTAAAGAATAAATTATTTTAGATGTATGATATTGTCTCTAAGAAGCTGTCACTGACTCTTCCAGATTGGATTAGAGAACCTCTCTAGGACTTCCACAGTACTTACGTCATCGTAATTATCTTTCTGTACTATAAATGCCTGATTTGTTTGTGTAGTTGTGGCCCAGTGGTAGAATGCTCGCCTAGCACATATGTGGCCCTGGGTTCGATCCTCAAGGCTACATAAAAATAAATAAAATTTTTAAAAACGGTATTGTATCCAACTACAACTAAAAATAAATACTTTTTAAAAAATGAACTATTAGAAAAAATACTATGAATCTTGCTCATTTCTATATGACAATCCCCCCTAACGTAGTTTTTAAATAAAAATGTAAACTTTGAAAAGTCTACCTAATTTCACAGTCTAAAGGAAATAAGGAAATATAAGTTAGTTTTAATAAAAGTGACTTAATTTTAATGAAAATGAATCTTAAAATTGGAAGATATTTAAATCTGAAGCCACCCTATTATTTAAATTAATCCATAATCAAAATTAAATGCATTAAGTGTAATCTTATTACTAAGTTACTTGATTCATTTTTATATTTAAAAATAAACCACTACTGAGTGCTTGCCCAGTATATGTAAGGATCTGGGTTTGATTCCCAGCACTGCAAATAAACAGAATAAAATACAACAGAACAGAACAGAAACAAATACAAAGGAAATCACAGAAGTATACAAACTATGACATTTTTGTTTCAAAAACAAAGTACATTTATCTAATACTTGCTGAATATAGAAAACATAATGCCAATGACAATGTAGAGAAAAAAGGAGGTAGAAAATGTATATATGTATAGCTTTATGCTTTCTCTAGGTACCATCAAACAGAAAATTGGAAAATGCACCATCATTTTTATATAACTATAAGAAAACCAACTAAATAAATACATACCACTGATGTGAGATGCACTCTTGAGATGTTAAAATGTTAAGAGAAATTCTTAGACTCAACAAAATACACTGTCATTCTGATAATTAACCAAGTTAAAAAATTTAACAAACAATAAAAAGTTATCTGCTCTAGCCATCAGCAAAGACTACCCTATTATCCCAATGGCTTAAGTACAGAAAGTMAGTTGAAATCTAAAATAACAGAGTATATTATAAAATTATACCAGATTTCATTGTCATGAATGATTTTGGGAATGGGGGAATTTATATTTTATTAGTTCACATGTAGGAGCTTAGATATGATCTTACAAACTGAGCAGTAAGATTAGAATTCTTAAGAATTAACAGGAGTTCAATGTCAAGATTATTTACCTGTCAGTAAGGAAGGCACAAATGAGATTTTTTGCTTCTTTTGATATGTCATTATCATCAGGGAAAGTTAGTGAATTTTTATGGTTCATAATCTTACTGTAAGTTCCAACCAAAGAATCTGCATAAAAAGGTGTATCACCTGAAAAATTGATAAGGAACATAAAAGCAAAATAAAATACATTTCAAAAAAATCTATGTTAAAGGAAAAGAGTCAAAGTTCCCTTTTTAAATATGTGTTAAAAAGAAACACACATTCAGGCTGGGGCTGTAGCTCAGTGGCAGAGCGCTTGCCTAGCATGCGTGAGGCACTGGGTTTGATCCTCAGCATCACATAAAAATAAAAAACAAATTAAAAAAAAGCATACTGTCCATCTACAAATACAAAAAAAWTTTTTTAAAAAGAAAATACACATTTATTATAATAAAAGAACACGAATTTGCTCTAATCCTTTAAATAGCTTTAAAAAACACATACAAAGCAGATTTTGGATCATGTTTATTTCCTATAAACAAAATCAACATTACTTAATATAACAAATATTAATTAGAAGAAGCCAAGCAGTGAGTTTTGGGATGAACTATATTAGGTACATAAAACCCTCATTACTCACCTACAAGCATTTCATACAAAAATACCCCAACTGACCACCAGTCACATTCTCGTCCATAATAACCATCACCACCTTGGGATTTTAATACTTCAGGGGAAATATAATCAGGTGTTCCAACTGCTGTATCACATCGTACCATACCTTCCTAAAAAAAAGTAGCAGGTCAAATTTTGAATTAGGATATTAAGTAAAGTGTCAATTATTTAAAATGACTTTCTTCTTAATATAACTGTAAAACTCTAAATCTTTGGGCTCCTAAATATTATATCAAAACAATTCAAACTTGAGAAAAACTAACACATAGCTGCTTAACCATCTATACAAAATACATGAACACTATATTCACACTATAACCATATRTACTACATAGCATATACACACACTCTACTCAGTAATTTTTATTTTAACACTGACTAGAAAAACATATTGCCACCAATTAATATTCCACCAGTTGTGCCTATATAATGATTTTATCTTAATTGGAGAAAACAAGCATATAAGCCAATAGATTGAAGGACTGAAAAATGAAGCACTTTATGACATAAATATCAATTTTACCTTTTTTAAAAAACTAAAAAGACTGTTTAAAATGCTTAAAAATGTGAATAAAACATACAAAAGTAGACTATACAAATATAAATGGGGAAGCATATGTATTGGGAAAGGACATAATAGCCTTGAGGACACTGAATATCTCCTACTCCAAAATTATTTGCTTTTTATTAATGCAACAAAATTATAACCAAATGTTCACACAAAAGTTATCATGTAGTRTTTCCTACTAACCAATATAAATTAACAGAGCTTCCTGACTACTTTTCTGTGGTAAATTAAGTAATATATACTCTTTCAACTGAAAAGAAAGTGGCATATTTGTTCTTTTGACTGTGTATATAAGTTATTTATTATATAAATAGTGAGAATGCATATAGTTTTAGACTGACTCCTAAAATAAGMAGCAAAATCTTTTCTACATGTTAACAGAAAGCAAATAAAACACTAAAAAGTAGACACATTYCTGAAATTCAATTTTTATGGAAGTTTAATTTTAACAATAGTGTAAGTACTTAGTGACATTTAAGCTAATGCCATTTCTAGTTACCAGCAGTGTATATAATAGAGTTGTTATGAAGGATTTAGTAAATCTGGCAATCCACATTTACCCTAAATAGACAGGAAAAATAAATCGCTAACAAGTTACCAATACAACATTGAAACCATGGTATTTAGTTCAACAAATTCAGGCACATCAATTCTGGGCAAGTCCAAATATGGTTGGTGAATTCTTATAGCATTTTCTAAAGAAGCTTTTACTTTGAATTAACAAAAATTAAAGTGTAATTAAGTAACCTTATTCATCTTCATACAAGTACCAAAATCTGCTAACTTCAAATGTCCAGATTTATCCAGCAGCATGTTATCAGGTTTCACATCCCTAARGGAGGAAAAAAAAAATAGCAGAATATTTCTGAAACAGATCAGACACTAGTGAAAATTATGAGGCAGTTATTTTAGGTCAAGTATTCTCAATCTATATAAGGCCAACTTTGATCTACATGTGTTCCCTATCCACATCTAGAAATTGAATTTTCATCAAGCAAACTCCTTTATATTTTAATGCCTTAAAAGAAAACGCACGCACACACACACACRYGCGGTAGAGCTTTGATTCTTCAATCATTTGAGAGAGATTAACCACCAAAAATATCACATTTGAAAATATAAAAGGTAATTGAAACATGTAAGATAGGTAAGTACATAAATAACACCAGGACAGTTTCTAAGTCATTTTCATTTTTCATCACTGACATGCAAATACAGCAGAGCAATTGGGATTCAGACAGTGTTTGCAAAAAAAATGATATTGTTCTAATGCATAAATAAGACCTATTAATCAAAAGAAAGTCAATTTATATTAAAAAATTAAAACCAAAGTAACACTCCAGCACATACTTTATTTTTTTTTGGGGGGGGGGGTGGGTACCAGGGATTAAACTCAGGGGCTTTCAACCACTGAGCCATATTCCCAGCCCTATTTTGTATTTTATTTAGAGACAGGGTCTCATTGAGTTGCTTTAGTGCCTCACTGTTGCTGATGCTGGCTTTGAACTGCCTCAGCCTCCCAGGCCATTAGGCTTACAGGCATGAACCACCACACCCGGCTCAGTGCTTACTTTAGAAAACAATTATTACTTTTCAAAATACCATTTAAAAACTATGTAATCAGATATAGTATATATACATATAAACATAAAATATACAAATAAATATATAAAAGCTATAAAATCAGATATATAATGATGATATTAAAGAATACATTCATATCAACGTTAAACTAAATACTAAAACTATCATTTCTAAATGTCACTCATGTCACATGGGAAGAGACTAAGTAAATTTAGAGTAGAAAATATTAATCAAATAAATCAAAGTTTCAGTTCTTTTTATCTACTCCCTTTAGCAAATGAAAGATTTAAAGCATTTTTATCTTTACCTATGAATAAAACCCATGGAATGGATTGCATCCAATGCAAGAACCACTTCTGCAGTATAGAATCGTGCCCACTTTTCAGGCACATCATAGTTGCTCATTAAGTTTACAAGATCTCCACCAGGCATATATTCCATCACCATGTAGAGATATCGATCATCTTGGAATGCATAAAAAAGCTATAAAATGCAAAAAACAAATTCCTTAGAATGAAGTAAGATTGTTTCATTAAAAAACAAAATACTAATGTTAATATTCAAGTAAAATAAATTACAGAACAGTTATAAGTACAATTTAAAAAAAGACAAATGCCTCACAGTCTGCTATATATTCAAAAGAACTATAAACCTTTTTCTGAAGAGTTAAGTCACCTTTTCCTTCATAACTTTCTTTACTCTGAATTTTTTATATAATATTTTTTTATTTATAATAGTTTCAATAGAGAATATACAAATCTCTTAAGCAAAGAAATATAGTACCTCTTATTTAACTTGTGCATTAGTGAACTGTACTATTAAATTTATATCAACACCACAATTCTCTAAGAAGTCTTTGATAAATCAAGCTACAATTTCAGCTGTTCCTTATTAGCAGCTTGGCTCTGGCAATCTGTGACCACAATTTCTTCTAGAAGATATAAAGAACTAATAAACCTTTCTTGACTTTCATACCTTGCGTTCAGTCAACATCTGGATACCTGGCAGTTAAAAAATTAACAAATGTTCAGTGAACAAAATTATGAATTAATCTACAACTTGTGGGTACACCTAATAGCAATTATATTCCTGGACTGTTAAAAAATGATTGACTATAGGAAGCACTTAGTGTTGTACAACAGATGCTCAATACGTGATAGCAGTTGGTAGAAGTAATAGTAACAGTTAACAAAGAAATAGGAAAACAGCAGCAGCAAAAGATTAATGAGGAAAAGTAAAATCCATTAATAAGAAACTTGCTAGAATATTAGGCATAAATGTATTAGGTGGCCACATAAATTATGTGAAGTAAAAAGAGCAAATTTTTAAAAGAGCACCTTCACTAAATACTAGAAATTTAGAATAAAATAAGCTCTAGAGAAAATAATACCTAATATACCTAGCTGTTTAAGATCTTCATATTTCCTTTTTTTAAAGGTATTTAATGATTTTAATTATAGATTTATTTTAATTTTAAGAATATATTTGGGAGAGGCATGAGAAACTAAGTGGCATTTCATGACTATTCAAGATTAAAGTATACAATAAGAGAATCTTATGTTTGCCAAAAACAAACAAACAAACAAAAAAAAACTCTTAAATTTCAGGGTGGGGTTGTGGCTCCATAGTAGAGCGCTTGCCTGGCATGTGACAGGACCTGGGCTCCATCCTTAGCACCCCATATAAATACACAAGTAAAACAAAGATCCATCGACAACGAAAAATAAATAAATAAATAAGATTTGAATTTCAATATTAAAGTATCTATTTAAAGTATAATATACTTTCCTCAAATCAAAGCAGTTATTCAAATTCTAAAGAAACCATTATTTTGCCTTGGTCTTTCTAGAGATGATTCAACTAAATTAAATTTTATGATTTAAATAACAACAACAATATATTAGTCAATTCTATAATTGTAAAAAAAAACTACTACTGTTCTATAAAATAAATTTCTCAGATATGTTTAGTTATAAACTAGAGCAGCAATAATCAAACAGTAGCAACATCATACCTGAACAACCCAAGGACTGTTAGCAAAAGCCATGATGTCCCTTTCTTCCCAGAAAAAAGCAGAATCAGATCTCTTAATCATTTCAAATTTGCTGAGAAGCTTCATAGCATATACCTTCCTCGTAGATTTATGCCTTACCTTTAAAATTGAAAATAACAAACTTTTTTTGAATACTTAAAATTCAATGTTTCACAGAATATTTAATATTTTAAAAATAATTTATTATTTAGCATTATTTCAGCTATTTTTATTTCTTCTATTCTGCCGAATTATCCCAATCAGCTAATGACAAGGCTTTAATTACCAGAAGTAAGTAATGTTAGAAAAACTTTATTCCTTATAGCACAGCATATTTGCTATGTATGCTACTTTATAAAGTTTACTACTCCATAGTATTTTAGATAGTCTAATATTAGAGCAAAAATTTCTCTTCTTATGCTTGAGATCTTTTTGTTACACATGGATGCTCGGGGAGAACATTTTCGACTTACTGCTAGACTTAGTTCAAGGCTTAGGCAAGAATCATTAGAACAATTTAAAGCAAGAATTCTGTAAAATTAATATTTTCCCAAATATACATGTTAAACACACAGGATTTTTTTTATTTAAAAAAGTTCTCTATAAAAATCTCATTAAAATAACCTACCAATTGAACTTCTCCAAATGCACCTCTACCAATCACCTTCACTACTTCATAATCTTCAGCTTTCATTCGTAAATCTCTAATTTTATTTATTGTGTCTTTATCTGTATGAAAAGAAAAGTATATAATTTTAAGTCACTAATGCATTATAACTAAACATCACTTATAATACAATTCTTGAGGGAAAAAAAACGAAAAACAAAAATTTCATAGAATGTTTAATGTGGTAAGATTTCTTTCCAAAATAATTTCTGGAATTGCTCCACTATACTAATTAAAAGTTTTTATTAAAATCTGACAATAGAGCTGGCCATGGTGGTGCACACTTTAATTCTAGCTACTTCAGAGGCTGAGGCAAAAGGATCACAAGTCTGAAGCCACCACTGGCAACTTAGCAAGACCCTACTTCAAAATAAAACACATAAAGGGCTGGAGATGTAGCTCAGTGGTATAGCATTACTGAGTTCAATCCCGAGTATCACACACAMAAAAAAATGTTTTTTAAATAAATATTACACCATGAACAAAAACTAAACATAATTCACTTATTCATTTGTGRTATTTTAAGTAAATATCAAACTTGAATTTAGGGAACATGAATAGATAACATTAGATTCGTGAAATAAAATTTTCTTTTTATTAAGTTAGTTTTGAAGACTCCTTAAAAAAGATATAAGTAATTTTAAATAGTAAAGGCAAACATACTAAAGAATCTAAATGAATTTTCCAACTGGCAATGTTTAGTTCAAATTACTACATTTCTCTATTAGAACCTAGATTTTAACTTAAAATATACAATGGGAATAATTGCATTTATTTATATAAACTTTTCATGCTATAAACTATAATAATTTACATATCCCTACTGGGTAGATATTCTAATTCCTAATTTGGTCACAGATTAAAATAGAGCTATTTTAATCCACATGGGTCAACATTGGCATGAGATTACATGAAAAAGTTTCACATATTTCAGAGCTGCACAAAAATTTTTTTAAAAAAGCTATTAAACTTGAGCTCTAGTTCACAATAAAAGTGCCAGTAATATTCTTGTCTCTTTTTAAAAAGGTACATTAAAATTCAAGCATTCACATACATTATGACAAATACACCCAACAGAGAACAAATTTCCACACAGGGATAACATAAGTACATTAATAACATAAGTACATTTAATTCTGGGGGTTATATACCCATTACAAGATGCATTACAAAGATATCACAATTTGTTGCACAAATATTTATTTCTACTACATATCAGGCTCTAAAGTATTCACTGAAGATACATAAAGGCAACTTTAAAACCTAGTTCCTGCTCCCAAGAAGTTCAAACTCTAATAAATGAAACAAACAATGAAAAACAATCCAAAAAAAATGTAATAAGGGAGATAAGCAAAGTTTTTCAAGTCCTAAGGAGGATACTTAATTCAAGCTTGCCTTGGAGGGAGATGGATAAAGAGGTTTYCTAGAGATAACACCTAGAAGATGTCTAAAACAAAGAGCAAAAGTTAGAAAAACGAGAAGGAATAAAAAGTAAGAACGTTCAGGTGGATGGGCAATAAAACCAAAGGCACAGTGGAACTGTATATAAGAAGTTCTCTGTTGCTGAGTATAAATCAACTCTGTAGTAAAGATGGCGAGCCCAATATTGGTTAAAGAGTTTGAATCTTCCCTACAGTTTATAGGTATAGGCCAGTACTTATAAACCTATTATTTAATCATAAAAATCTTTTTCAGATTAAAGTTTAAAGCAGCTCAATATTACATGTCATCAAAAAAAAAAGTGCTCTGCTCTGGAAAATATGGCGAGTGAGGGATGCTAGGGGCTGAAGTCTCTTATACTTTATGAAGCCTCTTATACCTTAGTCCCTTGGGGGGTACTGTACCATCTGCTGGGAACTGAGAAGTGCAATCTGAAAACCACTAGCACGGGTTGAAGGCCATTAAAAAAAAAAATAAGGCAAATAAAACAGTCAAACATTTCAGCTAAACTACTCTGGAGAAAATGTAAAAGATGAATTCAATAAGGGCAAGACTGGAGGTGAGGAGATTTTTTAATTATATTGGTGAAATAAGAAAGTCCTGAACCCAGATAATGTATTACATAATAGTTCATGAGGTTGAAAAAAGATCCCTGGCTCTAGTTACTTGAGGCTTAGAGCCATAAAAAGATTATAAAATCTTAAGGAAGACTGCAGACAAGACATCTAAAATCCAGCATATCTTTCTCTGTTCTACTGTCTTTGATTTTTAGCTTATCCTAATACAGGCTTACATGCTAGCAAGTGTAAATGCCTCTTGACTGATGATGGCTTTCAAACTCAGAAGTTTCTGTGGCTCTTGTTTTCCTAGTTTACCTCATCAAAGGTCCACTCTAGAATTAATCAAGGACTTAATGGCATAGTCTAACCAACAGCCTTTGGTTTCAACATTCAGGACTATTTATCCACATCCACCCTAATCTCAGGATCTTAAAAACTGTTTATTGGAAAGTAATAATGTAGTAATAATAGTATCCCTAAGCCTAGGGATACTATTTACAGCCTGATCTTCATAGGTATATGATTTMTTTGAGGTAGAAAATAGTGTAATTAGATGCCTTCCAAACCTATCTTAGATGACTGGATGTTACCAGATATCCATACCCCAATGCATGAAGGTTGGGCTGGGTTTTAGTTGAAATCTGGGATTGTCAAGAAATATTCATTAATAATAGTCCCATTTATGTTATTTGGCACATGGCTTTCCTAAATTCAATTCTGTGTTTCCTGACATATTGATGCCAATCCCAAATTGGCCAATTATCCCCAATCCTTCATCAATAATTTTCTACCTTTCCTTTATCTGAACAATCTCTGGGAGCTTGATATTCATAGTTAGTCAGCCCTGGGCATTCTAAGACATGATTATAAAATGGTTGCTTATTATTGCTTCATTTTTCACAAYCAACATAGGCTCAGACTTATAATCACAACTGATTATAATATAAATAACTTATAATTAATATCAAAATACTGGGATCAGAGATAATTTTAAAAGGAAGAACATTAAGGATTAAAAGACAGCAGCAATGATTTTTTTTTCCAAAGTCATTTCAAGCAGCACTAAGAAAATYGCCTTTTACGGAGTAGGTTCTGAATAAATAGTTGTCTAAATATGTCATCCTTCATTCATATGTCTTCCTCACACAGAGTTACCTAGTAAGTTGATTTGTTTTATTTTCTGTTTGTTTTTAGCCCTCCAGATGTACCCTCTTTAGTCACTTTAAACTCACAGTGCCTCTTCAAATAACAAGTTTAGGAAAATAACTAAAAACAGAGTCTTGTTTTTCAACTGACAACTGATTTTGCTCTTAAGCCTTCAATTGTTTAACCAACTGTTCTTGCCCAAAGACTAATGATTTTTATTACATTTATTTTTGTTGTGCTAGGGATTGAACTCAGGGCCTCAGCATGCTAGGCAAATGCTCTACTACTGAGCTGTTTCTCCAGCCCCAAGGCTAATAGTCTTAAGCAAGTTTTTCTCTCTGTACATATTTGTTTGGCTTCTGTAATCATATGCCACCAGCAAACAGTTTTCTCTGGCTAACAAATAACCCATTAATAAATTTAGGTAAGAATGTAGCCTCATGTCCTTTCCATTTTTGTAAACAAATTCTACTAATGATATATTCCATTTTTTCTATTTTTTATAACCGTTTTTATAACTGTTGCTGCTGGATGAGGTGGGAATGTTATGATTAGTGCATAGTTTGATAATTCACTCTATATGATATTCTTTTAGCACAGTTATTATGTCACTGAATACTAAACACAATAATCTCCCACCTAACTCAATGAAATCATTCATACTCCACTGTGCCTCAAAAGGACAACCTACTAAGTACACTTTTTTGTTTTCTTGTTTGGAAACAATAACTAAGCACTGATAATAAAAAATAAAACATTGTGGTATGATGACACATGTGGCACTCAAAACACTGGAGTTGTAACAGTAACATTATGATTTATACTGCCTTGAGCATTAGTGTGAAGCCATGAAAGTGCCACATGTATCTCTGTTGTAACTACTCAACTCAGCTGCTGTAGCACAAAAACAACCCCCCCAACCCAACCAAAAAAAAAGAAAGAAAGAAAGAAAAGAAAAACCCCTGAAAAAAAAATCAAGTGTGGMAACGCCCTAATAAAACTATTTATGGGCAACAAAATCTGAATTTCATGTCACATTATTCTTTTGTCCTTTTTTTCCAATCATTAAAAAATATAAAAACCATTCTTAGCTCATAAACTATTAGGATAGCCGGCCAGCCAAATCTGGCCTATAGGTTTTTAGTCTGCCAATCTCTTCTCTAAAGAAACCTAGCTCCACTGAAGACACTGCTTCCTCTGCAGCTCTCATATGATGACCTATATCCTCCTACTAGTCCCAGATGTGGAACTGGTCAAATCCACTGCTGTCTCCACACCCTCAACCCTAAATCTGCCAGCTGTGATTTTCATTGTTTTAAGCTATATGTCTCTCATTGTTGATRTTACCTACTGACTATCAGGTCATCCCATCTCATTACTAAAAAAAATCTTAGTTACTGATCTCTCCAATATACTCCTATTTTAATTCTTAGTGATTTTAATATACACATAGTCGTTTTGCTTCCAATAATTCAGCTTCTTCTTTCTTTCAATGATTTTGTTCTCCACCTTATCCCACTCACTCATTTCCCATAATTTCAATTTCAAACCTTATACTCTCTAAGCACTTACTTAGGTTACGTGCTCAGCCCTAATATAGCCTTTTCATTTATTTTTAATTGATTCAAAAAACCCATAAAATTATACATATTAATGGGATAACATAAAATGTTTCAATAATGTACATGTTTATATTTATCATTTATGAAATTTTAAAATATACTCTCTAATATCTTAACTCCAAAAATCTCTAGCCTCATCAGACTGGTTGATTATAACCATTTTTACCGTCCCCCACTGCAGTGATTCTTATCTTTCCTATCTACTGGCTTAAATTACCTGGTCAATTAAAATCACTCTCTTGTATATACTCTTTAATACCTTCGGCTCTCTTCTGCTTCATTTGGTTTGGCAAT